ATAGGCCATTGTTGATGCCCTTGCTTTGCTTCTTTATATCCCACATATGAGTGAGCTCATCTGGTATTTGTTCTTGTCCAATTCAATTCACTTAATATGTATGACATCCTCCAGTCTCATGCAAGTTACAGCAAAATCTTTTCTCATAGCTCTATAGTATTTAATTTTGATATTCCACAATTTCTTTATCCACTCATTTGCTCTTGATATCTTGGCTATTGTAAATAGTGCTACAATAAACAGACGTAAGCACATTACTTTTCAATTTAGAGCTCTTGTTTTCTTGGGATAGATGCCAAAGAGTGGAATTACGAGATCATATAGTAGAATTTTTTTTCTACCATTTTAAAAACTCAACACTTTTCCAAAGAGGCTGAACCAGATTTAGTCAGATTTAGCCAAGCATTAATCAGGATTCCTTTTCCACCGTACTCCCGTCATGTTGGTTGTTCCTGGCCTTCTTCATACAGACTACTCGCACAGTGTGAGGTAATAAGTCATTGTCATTTTGATTTTCATTTTCCTAATAATCAAGGATAATGAATACTTCTTTACAGCCCTATTGATCACCTGCATGTATCTTTGGAGAAGTGCCTATGCCTTCCATGCGTGAGATCTTTTGATTTACCTTTTGGTATGTTCCTGCTGGCCCTATCACTTCAGCAGTATGGCATCACCAGGTCCAGGGCTGAGTGTTGCTGGTACTGGCTTCCAGGACCACACTCCCTTTTGGGGAGGGACCTCTTACAACCTTCCCCTAATGAAATAGACCAGAAATATAATTTAAAGGACTAAAATGCATACTTTGTATGTAGGAGTTTCAGGTTTGATCCCTCATACTACATGTAGCCTTTGAGTACTGCCAAGTGTGGCCCAAAATGAAGCAGAACAAAACAAAAAGTAAATAAAAGTAGCCAAGGACGAACCTAGAGAAAAATGATCCTTTTGGAGAGTTCAAGGATATGTGTGCTTTTGTGTTTGTGATGTAAATCCTTTGGTCTCACTGCTTTTATAAGTGGCTGCTGATTTCTGAGGTGAGTGCTTAAATTCTGTCTGCATTTAAGTTAAGTTCCCACAGACAAAGCCACATTACTGAAGTATATGAGGCATGGCTTAGGGTGCCTCAGTGCACCAGAGGGGTTTTGTTCTAAGGACCTATTAGTATCTGTAAGAGTTAGCTCTCTAAGGGACAGACATAGAAGAACTGCACTCATCTGTGGAGTATAAAACTACATAACATGAGGCTGGCCCCTAAGGATAGGAAATACACGGGACAGGTAACCTCAAATCCAGGTGTCAGAATGCTGACTTGTTCAGGATGTTTTGTGGTTGTAAATTTAAATTACTAAGTGGTCAGGCATAGTATAGCACTGTAGCACTGTCCTCCCATTGTTCATTGATTTGCTCCAGTGGGCACCAGTAACCTCCCCATTGTGAGACTTGTTACTGTTTTTGGCATATTGAATATGCCAAGGGGAGCTTGCCAGGCTTTGCCGTACTGACAAAATACTCTTGGTAGCTTGCCGGGCTCTCTGAGAGGGGCAGAGGAATCAAACCTGGGTCGGCTTCATGTAAGGTAAATGCTGTACCTGCTGTGCTATCACTCCAGCCCCCAAAAAGATTGTCTTTAATTGGGGACTATGGAGTTATCACCAATGAATGTTTTCTTTATAAATCCTCTCCCTTCGACCATACTAGAAACATAAGAGCGAATTATTGTCACAAGTATCATCCCCTCACAAAAGTTTCTTTGTGTACAGAGGTATTCTGAGATAGGATCAGAGGCCCTTTAAGAATTAAGCACAACAGCAAATGCAAACTAGTCAAGGTGAATGGTCGAGGGTGTGTGAAGTCCTTCTATTCTAGCTTTGGTGCAATCCATGAATTTGACTTTGGGAAAAGAACCATTTGCACAGGTATAAAGCAAATATAGGCTATGACTTAATGACTATTTTCACAGAGTGGTCCACCATCACAGTGAAGAATTATGTTTCTACTATCAGTATCACCTTGTTTCTCAGGACTAAGCAACCCAAGCAACACTCAGGGAATCTGGGCACCACTCCTAGCAGTGCTCAGCCTGGCTATGTAGACCAGATGTTTCAATGGTTAAGTCCCACAATGCTGGATGCCACCAAGGCTATGCCAAGAGGTGTTTGGGGGAGGAGAGGGTGGTGGCATGTGGTGCTGGGGACTGAACTCTGGGCCTTATGCATTCCAGGCATGTGCCTTGGTCCTTGTTCATCTATCACAATTTCTCTCATTTCTTCGACCTGCTTTTAATCAAAACTCCTGCGCACCTACAAAAATTCTCCAAGATCCTCAATATTTCCTCTCTAGCTAAGTTCACAAGTTAAGTTTATCATCTTTATAAGCCAAGCACCTGCTGCAAGCTCTCCATTCCATTCTCTTTATTATAAAAAACTACTGGGTAATTTAATGCAAATCTCACAAGTTAGACTTTAAGATCTTTCCCCACCTAAAAATATACTTATCAAAATTAAACCCCCAACCCACCGCCAGAAATGTAGGCTGCTTATGTCGAACACTATTTAAAAGGAGTAATTAGGAATCTAATGGAGAGACTATTTAGTAGGATAAAGAAATAAGAGAACCAATCCAGGCTTCCCAGTATGATGGCGAAGCATCATACATCCAGGAAGCTGTATGCCAGTGAGGAATTGACTATTACAGTTCAAAAATCATGAAGACGAAGGTGACAAGAGAGCTTAGTGATTGCACTTAAAAAATTTGTGAAAAGTGGTGATATTTTGGGATCAATTAGTGATAAAAAAGAAAAGAAAACTAAGAGGTGGGGAGGCAACTAATGACTCCAGAAAAGACATGTATAGGAAGGAAAAGTAATCATGGTTTACCAAATAGCCCAGGTGTATAGAGCTATTACAAGAACATACTCTTATCTAATAATGTCACAATTACAAAGAAAAGGAGGAAAAGAATGTATGAGTGCATGTGTGGTGAGGGCCAGGAAGAAGAATTCCTTCTCCACAGTTGCAAACTATTACTGTTCCACACTCATTTAGGAAAAGTGAAATGAAAGGAAACACCAAAAATATGTTACAAAAGATAAACTAGGTCTCTGGGGGGAGAGGAATGAGGTAGGGGATTTTTATGTTTCTTTTTATTTTATTTATATATTTATTTATTTTGCTTTTTGTGTCACAACCGACGATGCACAGGGGTTATTCCTATATGCCAAAAATAGTAAAAATTACGGGCCTCATTCCCCTGATCCTGAAAGAGCCCCCAGTGCAGCAGTGTTGGGAAGGACTAGTAAGGAGAGGTTGCTAAAATCTCATGCTCTTCATATTCCCGGAGCAAGCAGATGCCATGGGGTTACACTAGCACGTGACAGGGATGAATGGAGACATTACTGGCACCCACTCGAGCAAATCGATGAACAACGATGAACAACGGGATGACAATGACAGTGACACAGTGAATAAGGCATGCTTTTTTATTTATTTATTTTTTTTTTTTTTTGCTTTTTGGGTCACACCCGGCAATGCACAGGGGTTACTCCTGGCTCTGCACTCAGGAATTACTCCTGGCAGTGCTTAGAGGACCATATGGGATACTGGGAACCGAACCCAGGTCAGCCACTTACAAGGCAAACGCCCTACCAGCTGTACTATCACTGCAGCCCAATGTATGCATTTTTATATTCTCAAGAGTTACGGTGAGACCTTTAAAATCTTCCAATTTATTCTGAAATTATGACACTCATAAAACTCACTAAAACAGTGGCTGAAAGGCATTACTATTTTGTTCAAATGAAAACGTTCCTTATTCAATAATAACTTTTAACTACATAGCGATCACTTTTAAAAGTTTCAAAAATCTGTTATTAAACATTCTTTCAAAGGAAAAAAGACATGTTGAGAATTATGAAATTATTCAAAACAAATGATTACTAGAGTATAACTAAAGGAAAATTCACATCAACAAAATAAACTTTGTATTCAAGGGACACAAAATTAATTTAAAACGACAACAATATGCTAGCATCTATTATCTCAGGATTCAACTGTAGATTAACTGATCTTTCTTACACTTCACACCTTATTTTTAATAACTGACATTTTTAAATAATGTAATTAGAGAAAGAAATTTAAGGAGAAAAACAATGAGTCTAAAAATGAGACCAAAAGGACAAAATACTCTTTGCCTCTAGAATATCTTAGAAATACCTTAGTATAATCTTTTTTCTGCCTTTAAGATGACCATTTAAAAATATTAGAAAGGACGTAAAATATTAGTTGAATGTGTTAGGAGGTATGATTAAATCTCTGTGGAGTCTATTTCCTTCAGGGCACTGCTAATTTTCTATTTCTAGGGAATAATTTTGAGTGTTCTGTGCTGGATGTCACCTTAATCACAGGAGCCCATCCTATACTAAGATGCTGGGTCTCAGTCCAGGGTCACCTTACATGAGGAAGAAGGAGGTGGAGTCTTGGTGTTATCTAATCTATATCCGATGAAGGGGGGGGCAGTGCAGAGGTGAGTGCTTCCTTTGGGTCTTCTAAAAATGACAACTTGTGTGGACAGAGGACAGAAAACAGTTATTGACTTCTCAAGGACTCAGAAGAGCAAGAAAAGAAAGCCCTAGGCTTTCTTTAAGACCCTCTCTATAGCCAGGGTGAAAAGGTCTAGTGATATCTAAATTAAAATATCTATATATCTTGGGGTTGTTGATTCTACACTTTTTTATTGAGCACCTAGTCTTTACCCTGTACAGTACTGAGTGACATGAAGAGCACAAGAAAATTGTAAGATATGAGCTTACAAAACTAGAGGCAGAAATCAGATGAATGTGCAACTTAGACATCAAAGGATGCAACAATGTTTAAAAAGATACGCGGCTAAGATGTCACCGAGACCCACCATGTTAGGACATGCTAGGATGTCTCTAAGAGTACAGGGAGGGTGGTCTCAAAGGGACCACAGTCACAAAAAGGGAAGCAGTAACGGATGTGGGGGACCCTTCTCTTTGCAGCTGCAGGTTCTCTGACCAGCACAACTCCTGACTAATCAGTAAGTCTTGGAGTTTCAGAGAAGTGAAGCATCTGTGCATGTGTAGTTGAGAAAAGGGCTCAGGGTTTCAGTAGGAGTCGTGTTCCCGGCCACTTGAGCCAAAGGAAGGGGACCAGGCGCCGAGTGAAGGTGGTGGTGAAGGTGTAGATGAGTTCTTGTGACTCTGCATTAGTAAAAGTCACAGTGCCCCCTTCATAATCCAGGGCAATCCCCACTCTCCGTGGTTGCAGTGATGGGAAGAGCTCAGCCTCTGGGTAAGTGTTGGCCCAGATGCCCGCTGAGGAGAGGCACAGGGCCCACACCCCATCTTCTGGCCTCAGAGTGAGGTCTCCCTTTCTCTTCATGGACTCTCTGGCCACTCCCACCATGCAACTTCCCTGGACTTCCTCCTCCTTCTCTACTTCCTCTTCCTCTTCTTCCTCTTCTTCCTCTTCTTCCTCATCTTCCTCATCTTCCTCATTTTCATCCGTTTCCCAGTCATATCCATCTCCATAACCATACTCCTCTTCCTCCTCTTCTTCTTCTCCCTCCTCTTCTTCCCCCTCCTCCTCTTCATCCTCGAGCCAGCTGACCCTTTCTACCTCCACTTCCCAGTAGACCTTGCCTGAGGTGAAGGCCTTACTGCCCAGCACCCCCGGCTCATAGTCAAACTGCTGTGGGTATTGATAAGCATTCTGGTACAGGCTGCTATAGGTCACACACTTCCAGTCCTCTGACAGTTGGAGGTATCCACTGGCTGACTTCGGGTCCAGGGTGACACTCACTGTCGGGAAAAGGAAAGAAGTAACTGCATTATCAGTGAGGTAGAAGGATGCCTACCATTCTCTACAGGTATTCACAGCAGTTCCATCCAAGGACAAGCCACATTTTGATTTATGTGAATAGGACTCAACTCCACCAAAGGACCAAAAGGGAGCTCAGCAGTGGGGTCTGGCCTTAAGATGCAACAGTCAGCTCTGACTGTGGGAGCCACTTTGACGGGCGTATGAGAAGAAATCCAGATACAGAGGAAGGACGAGTGGGAGAACAACCAAGCATGGGGCAGAGTAGGCTCAGAAAATAGAAGGTGGGGGCTTTAGATTCGCAGAGGGAAATTCTTTGTTCACAGAAAAGGAACTTCCAGAGGCATCAGAGGACTGTCAGAATCTCTATGGGAGAACATTATTATTATTATTATTGAGGCATGTCTGGGAACAACTCTGTATACTAACCTGTCTTATATTCCAAGTCTCTCAGCAGTTTCCCTGGAGAATAAAAAGACAACAATGACTCTCAATTCTAGCAATGTATAGGCCTATATTAATTTTGGAGCTGGGGCTCCATCCCCAGGATCTCAAGAAGAAAAAAGAAAACAAACAGAAGATCTTTAGAAAAGGAAGGAGCCAAACATTTTCTCTCCAAGTGGCCTCCAGCTTCTAATCCCATGCAAGGCTCTCCCCACCCCTGACCTTGGAATTCTCTCAGGCCTTGCTGCAGAGACATAATTTTGTCTGAAAGTTCTTCTGTCCTTTTTTTCACCACAGGACGAATGGATTTTCCAACCCAGAACTTCTTTCGTGGGTACCTAAAAAGATCAGGTGCAGACAACATGGTGTTAATATCTTCATGGCAATGAAGAGGAAGGAAATAGATCATCTCCAGTCAACAGACAGAAATAAAAGGACTTAGATGGCAAACAGTCAGGCCTATGTTGGGATTTAACGAGGACCCAACACCCAGAGTACTTTTGTCTACTCCCATTCATTCCTACCCTCACTTCTTGTTCTGTCTCAGACAAATCTGGTGAGCAAGAGTTTGGCATAGGAGGCTGGAGTGATGGCACAGCGGCCAGGGCATTTGCCTTGCACACGGCCAACCCGGGTTCCATTCCCAGCATCTCATATGGTCTCCTGAGCACCACCAGGAGTAATTCCTGAGTGCAGAGCCAGGAGTAACCCCTGTGCATTGCCGGGTGTGACCCAAAAAGAAACAAACAAAAAAGAGTTTGGCATAAAAATTTTTTTTAAAGAAACTGTAGCTTAGGTAAGATGGTTATTATAATACTGTTAAATTTTATGGTATTGATGTACAGATTTATTCACTACACCACCACCAAAGTGCCTGTAACCCTCATTACTGCCCCTATTTTACCACTAGTCTGGTCTTCACTCCCATTCTCCCCTCTCCCTACTGCTGGGCTTTGTAACCCAAGGTTAAGGATTTGTCATTGTTCAATGTCTATTCCTGTGCGTCTTGTCTCCTTATTCGACAGATGAGTGATATCCAGCATTTGTCTTCCTTCCTCTAACCTATTTCATCTAATATTATATCATCCAGCTCCACTCAAGTTACAGAAAATGAAACTCTTTCATCTTTTCTTATAGTGGCATAGTATTTCATTATGTATATACACCACAACTTCTTTATTCCATTCATTTGTCATAGGATATTTGTGATATTTCCATATTACTATTATATTACACACTGCAGTGAACATAGAAGTGCATATATCATTTTTAATTAATGTTTTCAGGTTTGGGGGTTAGATGCCAAGAAGTAGAACAACTAGGATTTCTATTATTACTTTTCTTAGAATCCTAAAGAAGTTGGGGAGGAGTGGGCACTCTTCCTGTCCCCCACCCTGATGAGACTCTGAGATGATGCAGTATCTGGTCACCATCTACTTAAGGTCCCACACGGCCAGGATCCAGAGACACACAAACAAACCTCATACCCAAGCAACTTGCTGCAAGGATCTCTTTAGACCCTAATTATTAAAATTTTAGAATTCTTAGAGCACGCAGTTGCTCTCACGGCCGCGTGACTTTATATTGCATTCAAATCAAAACAATACAAAACATATTGCCTAGCACTGCTTTTTCAGGTATGAGTGGCGGTGGGTCTGGTCTCTAAATATCAAAGGTAACTAAAGTAAAGAAAGAGAGTATTACGCAAATTGTCTGCCACACAGGCAGAGGAAGGTGTGGCATGGGGGAAGGGGGATACTGGGGATTTTAGTGTTGGATAATGTGCACTGGTGAAGAGATGGGTATTGGATGACTGGATGATTGTTTGATCGAAACTCAGACATGAAAGCTTTGTTACTGTACCTCACGGTGAATCAATAAAAATAAAATTAAAAAAAAATACATTCAAGTGCTCAAAGAAAGAAGCTGGGAGTGCACAGAGAATGTAGTTTAGAGGAGACTCATGTCTAGTTCTCCCAGGATATGTTTATACCTCTCAGGAGGTAAAAAGTGCAGAATAAACTATGAAATGAGGCTATCTCAGGCCTCATGTCACTCTCCATCAAAGAAATAAGTCATGGTCAAAGAAAAGAGGCAGGAACACACGGGCATCAAGAAAGGAGTTACACTGAAGGAAAAAAGGCTCTTTTACCTCTTCAAGAAGTCTCTGGTATCCTGGAAGAGAAGCACAAACATTAGTGTGAATCAAAAATGTCCTTCACAGATACCAATGCTGTATTAGAGACCAGAGAAGCATCAATAAACAAATGTGGTCCCTTCCTTATGGAGCTGACATTCTACTGGCACCACCGCAGAAAGCAAGAAAATGAAGAAAATACCACAATGACATGGCAAACTCTGAGGCTGGCTAGGGAGTGACAGTGTTAACTTCTCTGAGATGACAGTTGTTATGAGGTTTCAGAAAGAGAAAGTGCTGGCCAGGTGAAAACCAGAAAGAATGTCAGGTGGAAAAGGGTCTGACAAAGCAGACAGGGGCAGGGGCTGGAGCCACACAGTACAGTGGGGAGGGCATTTGCCTTGCACGCAGCCAACCCAGGTTCGATCCCCAGCATCCTATATGGTCCCCTGAGCACTGCCAGGAGTAATTCCTGAGTGCAGAGCCAGGAGAGTAACCCCTGAGCATCACCAGGTGTAACCCAAAAAGCAAAAAATAAAAAAAAAAAAAGACAGACAGGGCCAGACCAGACCTTGCAGGGATGCACTGGCAAACTGAATTTAACCTTTGTTCCACACGTAAAAAATGGCTTCCTTTTTAAATTCTATGTATAAGAAAGTCACCAATGGGTGGCAAGAAAGGTGCTGTATGTGATCTGCTTTACAAGAGTGTCTGAGGCTGCTAAGTAACCCTTGAAATACATTTTTCTTTGTTCCTATTAATAACAGAATTCCAAATGTATTAACTAGGCAGATGACCTCACAGAAAAAGACTACAATTCCCAAATTTTCTTGTTATTAGAGCAGATCTGGTCATGTGACTAAGCTCCAGGCAATGGTATAAAAGAAAAAACAGGGGGCTGGAGCAATAGCACAGCAGGTAGGGTATTTGCCTTGCACGTGTCCAACCCGGGTTCGATTCCTAGCATCCCATATGGTCCCCTGAGCACTGCCAGTAGTAATTCCTGAGTGCGGAGCCGGGAGTAACCCCTGAGCATCGCCGGGTGTGACCCAAAAAGCAAAAAAAAGAGTCCTAAAAACTAAAAAAGAAACAGATTTCTACTTCCTCTTTTCTCTGGCTGAATTTCTGGTTTAGAGGTACAAGGCCACCTTTTACTACACAGTTGATGACACATCCAATCCATGAAGCTAGTGAAACAACCAGATGGATATAACCAGGCTCAAGGACACTGCCTTGGCAGCTCCTCACCCCTGATCTCCAAACAATTACTGAGAAGCTTCAGTTTTATTTGAATCACTGTATTTGAACTTAACATAACACATGGCTGTGCTACAGTATGGGTTGTGGATAGCAATGAGAACACAAGGGTCCAGTCTGGGAGCTGTTTCTGTGGACCACCTGAGAGATAAAGAAGCATGAATGAGAGGCTGGAGCAATAGCACAGTGGGTAGGGCGTTTACATTGCACCTGGCCGACCCGAGTTCGATTCCCAACATCACATATGGTCCCCCGAGCACTGCCAGGAGTAATTCCTGAATGCATGAGCCAGGAGTTACTCCTGTGCATCACGGAGTGTGACCCAAAAAAACAAAAAACAAACAAACAAACAAAAAAGAAGCATGAACAAGGGCCAGGGGGCAGAGCCAGAAGCAGCGGCTCCAGGGATATGAGACAAGCTCGACAGGGCAGACTGGTGAAGCACAGTTAAGGACTGACTGTAGCCTATACAGGAGAGAGGATGGTGTCGCCACCTGCATGGTGGGATGGAGTGGGTTGGAAGGGGATTCTGTGAGATGTTGGATATCGCCTTTCTGTAAGCGCTTCTATTATCACTAAATTAATTTTAGCCTTCCTTTCACTTACTCTACAATATTAAAATGCCTCCTTGTGCCAGAAGTCTACGAAAGCAGGGAGAAAATAATAACAAATTTTTGTTATTAAAAAATAACAATTTAGGAGCTGGAGAGATAGCACAGCGGGTAGGGCATTTGCCTTGCACGCGGCCGACCTGGGTTCGATTCCCAGCATCCTATATGGTCCCCTGAGCACCGCCAGGAGTAACTCCTGAGTGCAGAGCCAGGAGTAACCCCTGTGCATCGCCAGGTGTGACCCAAAAAGAAAAAAAAAAATTTAAAGACTCTTTATCTTTCCCACTCTTATCAGAGCTGAACTCTGCAGAAAGCAAGTGATCAGCACAACAAACAAATACAACTCTCGGTTGTTGGGGGAAAAGAAAGAGAACAGTGAGACGGGACTTGGGGGAGTGGAGGACAAACTGCTCTTCTGACAGGGAAGCTTGGAAAACAAATGCGATTGTTTCAGGGGTAACGCTGCTTGAGAAAGTCTCAGGAAGAAAACTGGGCTCTGCTCCAAGGAGACCCAAGTGGAGCATGGACGACGGACTATGGAGCCTCTCCCTGGAGCAAGGCCTGAAGACTGGTTCTCAGTTTCTGATAAATTCTAATCTGTTCCTCCAAATAAGTGAGTCCAAGCCGGCTTCAGAAAACTGGGTGACAAATTTGACTGTGTGTGCCACCAAGTCAGCTGAGACATGGCTTCAAAGAACAAATAAATGAGATAAGGTTGGAGCGGGTGAGAGTCCCAAGAAGACATATTCTGTGACATGGGAGCTCTTGAGTCATCAGAAGGAACAAAATGAGAACTGCTTAAGGATTAGAGACTGTGAACAGAGGCTGGAGCCATAGCACAGCGGGTAGGGTGTTTGCCTTGCACGCGGCCAACCCGGGTTCAATTCCCAGCATCCCATATGGTCGGCCGAGCACCACCAGGAGTAATTCCTGAGTGCATGAGCCAGGACTAGCCCCTGAGCATCGCCGGGTGTGACCCAAAAAGCAAAAAAAAAAAAAAAGACTGTGAACAGCTTGGAGTGGGAAACGAGGAAATCATCCCAAGAAAAGCTGCAGACACACCCAGAGCCTCCAGGGCGGAATCAGCCAGTCCCTGGCTTCTGGAGGAACTGCATCTCTGCTACTGTGGGGGAATCAGAGCCGAGTACAGCCACCTCCAGCATGGGCCATACTAGATCTCAACATAGCATGCACGAGGACAACTGCCCATGAGAGGAGAGTGACTTGCAAGGCTTGTCTTGGGTGGGTGGCACTGGGTAGAACTTAGGTGTGTCTCAACCTTCCCCTAGCCCCTGTTTCTTGTAACTTCATCCTGAATTCCCTGTCAAGGAATCTTTTCTTTCCTATCACGTTTGTCAAAGGCTTTTGTCATGCTTCTCCCATTCACTGGTATTTCTCTCCCTTTTTTACTTTATTTGAATACCGTGGTTTAAAAAGTTGTTCCTAATATGGTGGTTACGTCATTCAACGTTCCAACACCAATTCTGCCACCAGTGTGACCTTCTTCCAACACTGTCCTCATTTTCCCAACCAACCCTCACCTCCGCCCCATTTAGCAGGCACAAAATAATTTCTTTTGTATTAATTTGTTACAATGAAATGGTTAATAGAATTATCAAAGAATACTTCCGTAAAATAAAAACTGTACAAATCTCACCATGGGGTCATTTAAGTCCTTGTCTAGGTTTTTTACAAAGCTGTTCATTGTTAGCTAAGCCTTCTGTATTCTTGCTTGTTTATTGAGCTTACTTGACTTCTATATTACTTCCCTATTTCATGTGCTCTTACTGGGTTGCCAGTATTGTGGAATTTGGAGTTTGGCCACTTGTCTAGAAACTCCAAGATCTGTAGAGCTTGGCCAATAGATGAGTTGCACGGTGGAGGCCATGGGGTGTGGCGGTACCTTCTGGGGCTCCTGAAAGTACAGGGATTGGGGGAGGGGGGAGAGAGGCTGTCCACCCAAACTTTGAGAAGACTTTAAAATTTCCAGTCTGAAAATCAGAGGAGCACTGTAGCACTGTCCTCCCGTTGTTCATCGATTTGCTCGAGCAGGCACCGGTAACGTCTCCATTGTGAGACTTGTTGTTACTGTCCTTGGCATATCGAATACGCCATGGGAAGCTTGCCAGGCTCTGCCGTGCGGGTGGGATACTCTCGGTAGCTTGCCAGGCTCTCCAAGAGGGACAGAGGAATTGAACCTGGGTCCACTGCGTGCAAGGCAAATGCCCTACCCTCTGTGCTATGTCTAGAAAATATCAGAGTACCTGGACTTTTTGTCAGTTTGGTATCTCCAAAGAGATTAGTTGTAGAGCAGTGAAGTTAGACTTTGGAGTGGCAGCCACTATGGGGTGTGGGTGTGGCTGCAGGGGTTTTGGCAGGGTAGTAACTTAGTCCACCCCCATCCCGAGAGCACCCCAGAGTTTTCAGCTGGGAAACCAGTATACTTGTAAATTGCTTCGTCTACACTGCCTTTTTTTTTTTTAATTTTATTTTAAAGTCTTTGGCTTTTTGGTTTTTTGAAGGGAACTACATCCTGCCATACACCTGGCTCTGCTGTCAAGGCTCACTCCTGTTGGGGCTTAGGGAACTGTATGTGGTGCTGCAATCGAACCCAGGTCGGCCATGCGCAAAGCAAACAACCTGACCTCTGTACTATCATTTTGGCCCCCAAAGAGGCTTTTCTTCTTTTTGGTTTTTGGGCCACACCCAGCTGTTTTTATAGCTTAATTCCTGGCTCTGCACTTAGGAATCACCCCTGGTGGGCTCAGGAACCATGTAGAGTGCAAGGGATCGAAGGGCTGAGAACAAGGCAAATGCCTTATCTGCTGTACTCTCTCTCCAGCCCCTCCACCTGCATTTCTCTTCAGGTATTATTTTTTTTTCTTTTTGGGTCACACCTGGCGATGCACAGGGGTTACTCCTGGTTCTACACTCAGGAGTTATTCCTGGAGGTGCTCAGGGGACCATATGGGATGCTGGGAATCGAACCCGGGTCGGCCGCGTGCAAGGCAAATGCCGTACCACCTGTGCTATCTCTCCAGCCCCACAGGTATTATTCTTATATTCAAATAATCTCTGAAGAAATACTAATGACAGTGATCAAATTAGCTGTCCTTGCAGCAAGTCAAACAAATCCATACACACACAAACAAAATCCAATAGTACCCACACCTCAGGTACTGGTGTTTCCTCAACTCACCATCTACAAGTCTGAGATCCAGGAGTCACTGAAGGCCAGGTCTCTGTTGGCTTATACAGCTTATGTGAGTAAATTGAAGTAAAGCTATATGCTGGCAGGGGCTCGAGTGATCGCACAGTGGGGAGGGCGTTTACCTTGCACGCGGCCGACTGGGTTCGATTCCCAGCATCCCATATGGTCCCCTGAGCAACTCCAGGAGTAATTCCTGAGTGCAGAGTCAGGAGTAACTCCTATGCATCACCAGGTGTGGCCCAAAAATCAAATAATAAATAAATTAAAATGAAAACTAATCACAACCCATCATTAAAAAATAAATAAATAAAAAAGCTATACAATGGCAGACCAACTGGATGGATAGGAACTTCAGTCCCTGTACACCCCCACCTCTCAGTTCTCTCTCTCTCCGTTCCAAGAACATGTGCACATCCACATACAGGAATTCCTGAGGGGGAAGGAGGAAAGCAGGCAGCAAGGGATCTTGTCAGAGTCTGAGGCAGAAATGAGAGGGAATAGAATGTCACCCAGTGGCAAGAGGGAATCAGATTTTTAGAGCAAGAGAAATGAGATGTGGGAGACAGACACTTGGTTTCTGATCTGCTTCCCAGCCTGGACAGACCCCCTCTGCTCTCTGGCCTCACTGATTTCCTCAGTGGGAGAGGCACTGGAAATTCTGTCCCTGCCAGACCTGATTGGTGAGTCTCAACCCAAAATATTGAAGAGGCTGGGTGAAGCCATCTCTTCACAGGATCCATGTTGGCACACATACTTGGAGAGCTTGCCTTGCCACCTCTCTCTGAGATCTGCCCCTCCATGTTCCTGGAGGACAGACAGGTCTAACCACCCCACGTCAGCAGCGGAAGGAGAGCACACAGCCATCTCTCGACCAGGGAGGGTAGAAAGATTGAGCAGAGGAAATCCCAAAGCTCTATTCCAAAGCAGGGTGAGTCTTCTAGAAAGCCCCAGGAGGAATGTGTTTCCAAGTGTAAGGGGCTGTGGTGCACTAAAGTTGGAACCCTGTCTACCAGTCCAAGAGTCTCTCTGAAGCTCTCCAAAGCTGCCTCCTCCAGGAAGTATTCCAGAGTCACCTGATTGCTCTCCTCCTTGCTTTTAGAATAATTGTAGAGTTTAGGGTAAAACCTCATCCATCTCTCTCCCTCAGATTCTCATCTCTTCCAGACCCTCCACACAGCCTTTCCAACAGGCTTCTTTATCTCCAAAACCATATAAAGCTTCCCCTAGAAAAGCATCTAACAGTAACCTGTTCTAACAGGCCTCTGGTAGTGATGAGGATGGAGGATGAAGAACAATAATTAAAATGCTGATAAGTTCCCATTTCTATAGTACTTTTTAATTCTTTAAATATTTTTAGGTAGAAATTTTTCTTTTTCATATTGCACCATTCTAGTTGTTGCATTTTATACTCTCCTCAGAGAGCCTAGCAAGCTACTGAGAGTATCTCGCCCACACCACAAAGCCTGGCAAGCTACCCGTGACATATGCCAAACACAGTAACTAGTGTCACAATGGAGACATTACTGGGCCCGCTTGAGCAAATCGATGAACAACGGGAGGACAGTGACAGTGACAGTGACTCACGTAATGGGGCTGGAGCCATAGCACAGCAGTACGGCATTTGCCTTGCACGCGGCTGACCCGGGTTCGATTCCTCCGTCCCTATCGGAGAGCCCAGCAAGCTACCAAGAGTGTCCCGCCTGCACAGCAGAGCCTGGCAAGCTCCCCGTGGTGTATTCAATATGCCAAAAATAGTAACAAGTCTCACAATGGAGACGTTACTGGTGCCCACTCGAGCAAATCGATGAACAACGGGAGGACAGTGCTAGTGCTACTTACAGGATGGCTGGATTAAGTGAGGCTAGTAAAAATGAGAAAACTATGACCCCAACAGAAAGTCACTTTCCAAGGTCCTGTGAATAGCAGGGCTGGCGTCTGCAGCAAGGACTCCTGGTTCAGGGAGAGCCACTCACCTGCATGAACGCTGCAGCGGGCTGCTGTGCCCTGCTCTCCAATTCAGAGATAGCCAGTGCCAGCCGGGAAAGCTCTACGTTGCTCCTGTCCTTGCCCTTCTCCTTGCCCTTGGTGATCTCCTGTTCCAGGGTCTCCAGTTGGTCCAGCAGGTGCTTCTCTCGTTCCCTCAGGAACTGGTGGACCTCTTCAAATCCAGCTATGATGCACTGCCTCTGGCCCTGAAGCTTTTTCTGCAAGGGTGGGGAAGAGGAGAAAGGGGTTGACACCTGGGCCCTCTGGATCTGGTGCGATGGCTCAAAGAAGACCAATTAAGGGTCTTGGTTTCGTTCCCTCAGTTTCGGAATTGGAAGCCTGACTGCAAGACTGGAGTGTCCGTTCTGTATCAGGCAAACCAGAATGTTCCAATCTCCTCCGAGGAATTATGGGAACTAACACACTTTTCTCTCTTTGACACCAATATCTGGATTTTCCCCGGGATTAATCACTTAAATCCTTGATTAATTTCATCCAAGCCTGATTAACCCTTTCCTCTGCACCCACCAATTATGTGTGTCTGTGTGTGCTGTGTCTTTTGTCATGGAAGCAGGACCAAAGCTACACAATTCAGACAGGCCCAGAACACACTCTAGTGAACTGAGCTGCGTCCTAGCTGCATCCCTTAAGGCGCAGGCCTCCCAGTTCCCCTGGGTTATTACCTCCAGAATTTCTCCTAACAGCCTCACTTACCAGTACAGCCATGATATCAGTTTCCGCCTTCGTCTGAAATCCCTGAATTGAGTCTCTGTCTCTCCTTAGGGTACTCAAGTGGCTCAGGATTTTCTCCTGTAAAAAGACAAGCCATGGGACACATGGATTACCTGGGCTGGTGGAGAAGGGTGGCACTGGGCTGAGTGGAATGGCCAGTGAGAATGTTTCAGAGGACTGTTGGTCTGATGGATACAGAAGAGAGCATCCTGATGAGGGGCAGAGCCCCCGGCATGGGGAGAGCTTACCCGGTGGAGCTGGGCAGCCTTCTCCAGCAGGACAGCTGTGTGGGAGTTGTGTTCCCGGGACTCCCTGCATAGCACACACAGCAGCTTCCCATCGTTCTCACAGTAGTAGTGCAACTTCTCCTCGTGCCGCTCACACAACATTATGTTCTGCTGCTGCGGGGCCATTGTGCTCTGTTGCGTGCCCTTGTCCACCTTCAGCCGCTCAATGGTCTCCACCAGACTGGCCAGCTGCCACACTGGTCTGATGTTCTCCTTCTTAAATGGCTTCTTGCAGAGGGGACACACAAGGAGGCCAGAGGTGGGGCGAACATCAGTGATACAGTTTTGACAGAAGACATGGCCACAGTCAATGGTCACAGGGTCCCGCAGGTAATCGAAGCAGATAGAACAGGTCACCTCCTCTTCCAGGTTCCGTAGTGGGGCTGACATGGCCATTTTGTCCTCGGTATCTCTCTCACTGATGGGAGCTCCTCCTCCTTAGACACCAGACAGAGGTTACAAGCTGACATAGCAGGAACAGAGGTGGCATACTGGCATGATCTGCCAGCTCCAACCACTTATCAGCTCAATAACTCAATCAGTTGTCAGATATTATTTTTATTAATTATTAACACCAATAAGATACACACAATATTGCAGCAAAGGACCTTACTAATTATCTAATGTCCAAGGTCTGCATTTTACAGATGGGAAACTGAAAACTGAGACTCGGGGAGAGTGACTACATGGGGATCAGTTCATGTTGTGTGTTAAGAAATCTTTTTTTTTTCCTTTTTAATTGAATCACAGTGAGATACACAGTTACAAAGTTGTTCATAACTAGGTTTCAGTCATATGTTCCAAAACTTGTCCCTTCACCAGTGTTCATTCATTTCCCACCACCAAATGTCATTTTTCTTTTTCCTCTTGCACCCTCCCCCCATTGTCTGTCTGTCTGTCTGTCTGTCTGTCTGTCTCTCTCTCTCTCTCACTCTCTCCCCCCACCTCTCTCTCTCTCCACCCAACCTTTTCCTGATCATGGTCCACCTCTAATGTTGTTTCCTTCCTGTGTGCTCCCTAACCTCCCATCCTACTGGTTGGCCCTCTATTCTCATGTTGTGGTCCCAATTAACAAGATTTTCTCCTGTGACCCCCGTGGAATATCCTGGGAGCCCCAGCTGAGACATGCTTCTCTAATGACAGCTATAACTATTCCTTGAAAAATAGTCACAATACAATCATAAATCTACAATGTTTACCATAGAGCTCAGCGGCCTTTGAGATCTTTCACTGTGCTGACCTGAATGAGGTAGAAGGAAATTTTCAGGTTCTAAAAACCACCAACTGACCCCCCGGCACCGTGTAATCCCACCTACAGCCAAGACCCAGAGGCTATAAAACCCAGCTCCCAGAAGTGCGCAGCCGCATTTGTGGCCACACAACATCTTATCTCTTTCTTACTTTGGACAACCTGGCAGGTTACCAAATGTAACCTGCCCACACGGTAGAGTCTGGCAAACTCCCCATGGCGTACCCAATATGCCAAATACCAGTAACAATGATGGGTCTCATTCTCCTAACCCTGAAAGGGCCTTGAATATGGCACTTTAAAATCTCAGGACTAGGATGAAGGAGACGTTACTGGTGCCTGCTCGAGGCAATCGACAAACAATAGGATGATCGTGATCGTGAAAACCCAAAGGAAAAATAGAACAGGGATATAAAGTGCTCGCTTCAGCAGCACATAAACTAGAACAGGAATATAAGGTCTGTTTGTTGAAGATCTAAGCCATACAATGTATTAAAAATGCTTTTTAGGGAGCTGGAGCGATAGCACAGCAGGTAGGGCATCTGCCTTGCACACAGCCGACCGGGGTTCGATTCCCAGCATCCCATATGGTTCCCCGAGCACCGCCAGGAGTAATTCCTGAGTGCATGAGCCAGGAGTAATCCCTGTGCATGGCCGGGTGTGACCCAAAAAGCAAAAAAAAAAAAGGAAACTTATGTGTCCTGATTTGGAGGCCCTTCCTGTGCCCACGCCACCTTCAACGTAAATGAAATGTCTCCTTTGGAGCACTAGCAGCTCTGTAAACACTACAATTGTAGCACAGCACTACCAAACTGCTTAATTATTGATATTTTTACCAACCTTTCTCTTGATCATTATATCCGCATTGAATTTTTTTGTTACAGTTGTTTTTGGGGCCCACACATGGCTGTGCTCAGGACTTATTCTGGCTCTGTGCTCAGGGATCATTCATGGCGGGCTTGGGGAGGACCACATGGGGTGTCAAGGATTGAGCCCAAGGTGGTTGCATGCAAGGCGAGCACCTAACCCACTGTACTATCTCTCAGGCTCCCCGCACTGATGCTTTTATCTCTAATATCCGGCACCGTGTCCATGTTCTATGTTTGTGAGACCAAATGTTATCTAATGATTCCAAAACTCCATTACTTTCATTTTTTCCCTTTCACCCAACTCCCCTGGCCTTCTTTCAGTCTTGATTCAGCAAAAGATTCCAAGAATTCTCAGATTTGATGTTTTTTTATTTGTCTTTTTTCTTGTTTGGGGGCCACATCCAGCTGTGCTCAGGCTTTACTCCCGCCTCTGTACTCAGGGGTTATTCCTGGTGAGCTCAGAGGATAAATATTATGTGTTGGGGATTGAACTGCATCTCATGGGTAGGCAACATACAAGGCAAATGCCTTACCCACTGTGCATTATCCCTGGCACCAGATTAGATGTTCTCAGTCACAGATATTACCAACATCTTTTCCTAACTCCGTCCATACATTTTTAGGATAAGACAAACCCGGCAAGTCTTAATTTATATTGGATTCCAGCCAAACCGAGTTTTCCAAAACCAATTTCTTTCCATCCTTTATGCCCTTTCTATTTTTATAAGGAGACAGAGTAAGAACTCTGAAGTCACTGTAAGAAGCTTCAATTAAGATCCGACCTGAGCTCTCTTGTGCTATTCTCTGATGCAAAAGACTGACACATGAGAAGTCCACTGCTACTGAGCCTCAGTTTCCTCATCCTTTATTGACAGGAGAATAATCATATTTTGCTTAGTTCACCAGGCTTCTTGAAGTTCAAGTGAGATCTCATAAGTACAAATATTATCAACACAAAAAGCTCTATATGTTAAGAAGGGGCACAGAACCAACTTCAAAGAATCCCTAGTGACCAAAACTGCAACAATTTAAATAACAAAAGTAGTATTGAAACACAACCCAAAATATAAATATCCATGAGTGATTGAATAAGTTAAGGAAAAGTGAGAGGGGAAAGTCTTCCATGCATAATTCCAAATAACACAGATACATGATCTTAAAGACAAGTATAAAATTTCCCTCTATTTGGGACTGGAGCAATAACAAAGCAGGTAGGGCATTTGCTTTGTACGCGGACAGCCTGGGTTCGATTCCCAGGATCCCATATGTCCCCCGAGCACCGCCAGGAGTAATTCCTGAGTGCATGAGCCAGGAGTAATCCCTGTGCATCGCCAGGTGTGACCCAAAAAGAAAAAAAAAGAAAATTTCCTTCATTCTATATAGGATGCACAGCAACAAGTGAGATGCATTATAAAGTGACTCTGTTTTCCCATACTCCGTTCTGCTCTGTATTTCAGAGTATAAAAAGGGAGGGAGGAGGGGGTTAGAGTAACTTCACAGTGAAAAAAACTGACAAAACTCTCCAGTCAGGTGATCATGATCAACATCAAATCACATGTAATTTTGATATGCTGTGATGAAAATGGCAACCTCTGTGTTATTCTGTCTCATCATTCATAAAACTAGTATTAGAAGAAAAATTAATTCCAGAAGATGGATGCCCTATGGTATACATGTCCAGTATTTCTCAAAACTGTTCAAAATCATTAAAAAAAAAGTGGAAGAAATAAATCCAAAATTGTCATGAAGAGACATGAGAACTGCCTTTAATGTGGTCACTTGAATAGGACCATAAATAAAAAAGGGACTAAGATTTAAAACTAAGGAAATGAATGTACCATGAACTTTGGTAATAATAATTATCAATAATGGTTCATTAGTTGTACAAATTTATCCTACCAATAATTTTTTTCAATAAGATATTGATAATAGGGAGAAGATGTGATAATAGGTGATAATGATAATAACAGATGATAATAGATGATAGAGGAAAGGTGATAATGGGGGGGAAGAGTAAATTTGAACTCTATATTTGCAATTCTGAAAACAATTTAAAATTGTCCTTAAAAAGGTTATCTAGCCATAGTACAGCTGATAGAACATTTGCTTTGCACACTAAAAAAAAAAAAAAGGAAAAAAATCTGTCCAAAAAAAATAAGAGGGACTGGAGCCATAGCACAGTGAATAGGGCGTTTGCCCTGCACGTTGCCAACCCGGGGTTCAATTCCCAGCATCCCATATGGCCCCCTGAGCACTGCCAGGAGTAATTCCTGAGTGCAGAGCCAGAAGTAACCCAAAAAGCAAAAAAAAAAAAAAAGTTATCTATTAAAGGGGCTGGAGTGATAGCACAGCGGCAGGGCGTTCGCCTTACAAGCGGCCAACACGGCCAACCCGAGTTCGATTCCTCCGCCCCTCTCGGAGAGCCCGGCAAGCTACCGAGAGTATTCGATATGCCAGACACAGTAACAACAAAGTCTCCAATGGAGACGTTACTGGGCCCGCTTGAGCAAATCGACGATCAACGGGAGGGCCTTTACCTTTACCTACCTTTTACCTATTAAAAATTGCAATTTGGGAACATAAAGTCTTTTTTTCTGTTGGTAGGGAGTGGGTCATACCCAGAGGTGCTCAGCTCTTACTCCTGGCTCTGTGCTCCTAGCGATGCTCAGGGTACCAGATTCCATGCGGGATCTAACCCCAGTTGTCTGCCTGCAAGGCAAGCGCCATAACTACTGTACTATTGCTCCAGAATATAAAAATCTATCATTTTCAAAGCTGTTTGGTTTGCTACTGGAATTTGATATAATGTAAACAACTTGCGTGGCTGATGACAGTGGTATATATGTTGCATGCACGAGAGAGTGTCACTCTCCCATCTTTAAAAACGCAAACAAATTACTGTGCAAAAATCAGATATGTGGTGTCGGAGCGATAGTACAGCGGGTAAGACGTTTGCCTTGCACGCGGCCAACCCGGATTCGATTCCGAGGGTCCCATATGGTCCCCCGCAGCACACCAGAAGAAATTCCTGAGTGCAAAGCCAGGAGTAACCACTGAGCATCGCTGGATGTGACCAAAAAAAAAAAAAAATCAGATATGTACCGGTAATTTAGAAATGTCTGTCTCTCATTTTGCTCCATACAAAGATAAATGTACACTCTTTGCTAAAGCCTATTAGGGAGAAAAATTAGCGAGAGGAAATGCTAGCTAATGTGTTCACGGATAGGAAAAGGGAGTGTACCCGGCAGGTGGCAAAACCGGTTTCATCGGACACTTCACACTCCAATTCCAAAGAAAGGAAAGAAACAA